TAAGCAGGAACAATTAAACTGTATAAAACTGTAATATAAAAGTGTAGTGAAATTATGAAAAACATAAACTGCCCTTTATGTTTTTATTTATAAAATGTGATAAAGTTAGTGTTTCCCAAGTGACTGTCTGCTTACACAAATATTAATAACAAAAGATAAGCTTAACTATACAATATAGTTCCATGTAATGTTAAATTTGGGCCTTTTTTTTTTTTTTTTGCAAGGCTTGACTCTGAAATGTAGCCCCGAACTATTACAGACCTTCCGCCATGATTTGATGATTTGAAACAGACAATTTTCAACATCTTTTTTAACGTCTCTAAAGGTTTTAGTCCAGTTCTGGAGTGATTTTTAATTAAGATTTAAAGTTTCCCCCCAGGACTTTGTCTGAAACTGTTGGATCGTTTCCAGTGACTGATGTGGATTTCTGTCTTTATGGGTAATTGTTTTGTCATTAAATGGTTGACCACGCAGTTCACAGTATATGGCTGAATGTTGCTGATAAATGTAATGTTGTCGTTCAGATTCATAAACACATTAGAAGTCATTCATCAGTCAAACGTCATTTTTCTTGATTGCACTGCGAGAAAGTAAAGCGTCTTAGAGAGAAAAAAAAAGTAAATGATCATTTAAATGTGTAAAACAAACTCTGATTGACAGATGGTGTAAAGACACGTCACTTCTGACCAAGTTGGTAAGAAATGGTTTTAATAATTCTGTAAAAGCTGCCGTACTTCACTGGTTTACTCTGTGTGTGTCGTATCTCAGTAAAACCTGTTCACAATCTCTACATTTAAAGTCAGAATTTCTCCGCAGGTAAGATGACGGCATCACACACACACACACACACACACACTCTGACAGAAACAGCTGCTCACCTGAGACTGTGGCAGTTGTAAAGTTATATTGCGACACTTACACTGCGTACATTCATACCAGGTCTGCGGAGAGCACGGCCCGAACGCCACGCCCACTGTGACATCACTGACGTTGGCGGGTTAGGAATGCACCTCTGAGTCACGTGTACAAAGGTAACAATTTAACTGGTTTGTCTTCACCTGAACTGAGCAGCTGAGCAACTTCCTGTTCTGTGTGACCTTCATCACTGTTAAAGTGTCGTCATGACATCATCAGGTCGTTTTCACTGTGTTGTTGTGTTCTGGTAGGACTGACGCAGGACGCCAGGAGGAAGTTCAAGTGGAGCCCCCAGAGGAGGGACACGGGATGACACAAAGGACACCTGATACGGTACCCACTGAGCAGCCACTTCAGTTTCACATCACGGTTCTAACGTTAAACATCACATCTACATTTTCAGGCTCATTTTGACGTCACTTCCTGTCGTCTCCACACGTATACATTTGTGTAGATTTACATCGTTTGAGTTGCATTACTGCCGCCTACTGGCTATATTTTCGGTTGGTAAAAACTTTCAGTTTGGGGAGGATAGTATTCATACTCCAAGTACAAGTACTCTCAGTTACTCTTGTATCCAGCTGTGATCCTCATCCAATCAGCTAGCACGTGTGTAATTCCTCCTCCTGGCGACGTTTGGCGTTTACTTTGGCTCGACTCAACCACAAACCTACCTGTTGGTCTTGTTTTAACGAGTCAGTCTGCTGTCGTTGACTCAAGTAAATGTCGTGGTTAAACCGTCACCCTCTGTTAGTGCTGCTGATCATCAGTGAACAAACACATCAGTTTATATAATGAACTCATCATAGTCTTGGACCACACCGTACAGTTGATCCAGGAGGACGATTTCAACATAATTGTTGCATTTTGTTCAGGCATCATGTGGCAGATATATATTTATATATATGTATATATATGTATATATACATTTAGCAGAGAGTCACAGGTTCAAATCCCACCTTGGCTGACTGTGGCATCTTGAGGAAAAATCAATTATATATATATATATACTGTATGTGTGTGTGTACAATGACAATAAAAGTGACTCCTCATATTAAGGTAATTATTCAAATTAAATGAACACCAGAACAACTAGTTATCTATGTTCATGACCAGGTTTCTGACGGCGGTTCTTGACTCTGTGTGACTGTGTGACAGGACAAGTAACTGGAGTCATCAGAGCTGAAGGACTCTCACTGCAGACCTGCTGTTCTCCCGAATCACCACCGGAGGCAGATTTACTCTGTTGAAGCCTCGTCATGAGTGACCTTCAAATATTACTGTACAAGTGTCTTCCTCCAGGTAGAGAGACGAGTACCTGCATCAGTACTGGTACCTGCACGGTCTTCCTCCAGGTAAAGAGAGACGAGTACCTGCATCAGTACTAGTACCTGCATCAGTACCGGTACCTGCATCAGTACAAGTACCTGCATCAGTACTGGTACCTGCATCAGTACCGGTACCTGCATCAGTACTGGTACCTGCATCAGTACTGGTACCTGCATCAGTACAAGTACCTGCATCAGTACTGGTACCTGCATCAGTACCAGTACCTGCAGCAGTACTGGTACCTGCATCAGTACTAGGACCTGCATCAGTACTAGTACCTGCATCAGTACCAGTACCTGCATCAGTACTAGTACTTCAATCAGTACTAGTACCTGTTGTAACATAAGACACTGACCTTCAGATCCTCTAATATTGCCTGGTAAACTTGATTTTAAAAAATGATCATAAAGACCTAATATTTTTTTAAACTATAACATTTGTATGTAGATGTTAATGAGTAAAAAAAACAGTTCTTTAAACTGTGTTCCTTTAATTCACTCACTCATCCTCAAACACAGCTGCTTTTTTACACGATTTCTCGTAATCCCTTCAGTCACATTTATACCACAGTGTTTATGTTTGTGTTTGTGTTTGTATCGGACATGACTCAGGCGTACGCAGCCCTCGGTGAAAAAGTTTTAAAAAAAATTTAACAGTGTTTAACAAAACAACTCAGGACGTGTCCAATAAAGTCACGTCGTACGTTGATGAAAACGACGTGACTTTAATGAACACGTCCAAGTTGTTTTGTTAAAAACTCTGCGATCTCTGCAGAGAAAACATGAACTTTGGTGTGGCGGGCCATTTTTTTTTTTTTATGCAGCCCAGCTTTAATTATGCATTCTGGAGAAAGTCATTTAAACGTCACAGAGATGTTTCAAAAAACTCACTGGTGCAAAACAGATGTGGACGTCACTCGACCCTGGAGCTGTTGTTGGGATAACGCAGGAAAACGGTCCATTTGCAGTGAATCACTTTGCTTTTCCATGGAACCTAAATTTATATATATATTATACTATACTATATCATACTGTTTATATCACTGCTTCATCAGAAATGCACAGTGTATGGAATGTAAACCTGAGAATTTTTTTGAATATCAGGGACAGACTTATTTACAGTAAACACGTGTTTTGTCTTTTTCAGAGCTGCAGCCAGATCCACATCACACACAGAGACAAACAACATCAATGGTTTTGGACTGGAGGACATGAAACCTCACACTTGGACCCATGGTCTTCTTTATGTGAGTCTTTTTTTTATTATTATTGAAGTGTCCTTTCACCATTTAGAAATGAAAAGTTAGCCTCGGATCATGAGTTAGAAAACGACCTGGTCATGAGCGCAGGACGACTCTGACCTTTAGGACAGTGAAGGTCACCTGAAGCACCCAGAGAAGAACAAAATAATTTAACACTGATTGAAGAGTCTCTTCTGCTGATTGGACAATTATGGGCCAGATGGAGTAGTCTTTAAGAAATCTCTCTCTCTCTCACACTCACACACACACACACACACTCAGAGGGGGAGATCTGGTCACCCACCGTCAGTCCGGTCAGAACAGATCCGTTTGTAGCAGCAAAAGTCCTCATGGCTGTTTGGCTTTCTTCAACATCTCTGTGCCTTCTTTTCCTGATGGTGAGTTTTATTTATTTAATTTGTATATTAAATGTATTGTCTGATGAAATCCAGATTTCAGAGTTTATGTTTGTATCTGCTGCTGAGGAAAGCCCTCCTGCTTTGTTGTCGTGTCAGAAACACTTGCTGCCTTAACCGTGTGGTGCTGGGCTTTAATCCATGTTTCCTTCTTTCTTCTGCATCGTTACAAAACAGCTGAACACTTTTCCCTCTCAAACATAGACAAAGATTTTCATTTCAATTTTCAATTTTCATTTTATATCAGTTCCAGCTTGTTATTTTTTTTATGTTTTTTTTTTCTAATTTCCCATGTTGTCTCCAGACCAAAGAAGCCCAGATTTGTGAACGTACAGTACACACTGACACAGTGACTGACACAGTGACTGACACAGCGACTGACACAGTGACTGACACAGTAGATGGAACATGTTTTTGTGGATACATTTCCAACTGAATCCCCTTTTTTCTTACCAAAGCCTCCTTCCTCTGGTTTACAGGGTGTGAACGGCTGGCACGACCTGGACAACACCGAGTACGACTGTTGGCCGAGCATCAACCCCAACGACTACAACATGATCAGCTGCGGAGGTGAGTCCACTTGTTGAGACGTTTGTGTTCATTACTGACTGTCGGGCGACGGTTAATCATCACACGTCTGTCGGTGATGATGTTTATGCAGAAATAATTCTGCTGACTTAGCAGGTGAGGCTCCACCATTTACAACCTGCGCAAATACAGCTCACGATGAACAAATACAGCGTTTGTGGATAGAGTTCACGGTGTCTTCAGCTAATAATAATACACACAATGTTGATATGGGCCTGTGTGTGTGTGTGTGTGTTCGTGTGTGTGTTTGCTCGCAGGTCTGGAAATGGCCTGGGTGCAACGTCCTCCGGAGAAAATCACCAACGGTGAGGAGTTCAACGTCACCTACACAGTCACAGCCTCAGATTCCTTTTATGAGTACGCTGTCAGGAACAAGATCTTCCAGTTCAGGTGAGTGTGTCATCGTAATCCTGACACACACACACACCCCCCCCCACATTTTCACCAAAGGTTTGAGACCGACTTGGGTTTAAGGATTTATAAGTCTGACTTAAATAAGTCTGACTTACTTTTAAATTACAAAGTGGCGTAGACCAGTATAACGCTACTCTCATTTTCTTGTTTTTTTTTCTTTTAAATTACATTTTTTTTTTCAGTGATGCGTCGGATGCAAAGAGGTTCTGTCACGAGCACGAGTGTCCCGCTAACTGGAACAGTGCCAATGAGATGAACTGCTGTGTGTACCACGCCAACATCCACTCCTGCCCTCTGGGCCTCATGGTTGGTTATTGTTCTGGAGTCAACTGTGAAGCAGCAACTTATTATAAATCTTCATCCACGTTTGTCACGAAAGACCAGTTTCAAACTAGAAAGTGATGATTTAAATAAAAAACTGATTCAGTTAGGGAAAAAGTCACGTTCCAAGAACAACTGTGAATTAATTATTCATGTTTTTCTACATTCTTCAGAGTGCATTGACATACAACAATATATATATATATATATGGTTTCTCTCTCTCCTCGCAGAAACACGGTGGAATCTGTGGCCCGTGGATTCCTGATGACGGTAAAATCGTGACTCACACTGTGTCCAAAGCAGGAAAGATGTCGCAGAAATACTGGACCTCAAAGGTGACCTGATCTGAAAAAAAAAATTATTAATGAATCATCTGCGTTTGTGCAGCGTTCATCACCTAAACTAAACTGGGCTTCGAATTTTAATGACATTATGAAACTATTTAATCCCCTGAAAGAAGGCACTTCCACGCAGTAACCTGTTTCTCTCTCTGTGTGTGTGTGTGTGTGTGTGTGTGTGTGTTCTCTCTCAGGTGGTGTTGATCCACGTCGGCGTCACCTCAGTCATCGCTCATATCAAAGTGGGACAGATGCACGCAGCGCTGGAGTCCAAAGTGCTGGTTGTCAGTGCACAAGGTCAGTCTGTGAACACATGGTCTGTAGTGAATACAAAGACTGACCTTGAGTCACAGGAAATATTTCTAACTGTTAGTGTTATCACTTTGTGTGGTGTAGCCGACTGTAGCAGATGACTGAGCCGGGGTTTGAAATGTTGTTACCATCATGAAAAGAAACAAGAACTTTTTATAGACACAATTATGTGTCATTTCTCTGTGTAAATCTCTGTTTTATCATGGATTAGTTTAGAAAGTGTGTGTATAATGGAATATATAGGAAATAATGTATTAAATATGTTTATTTTTCTTCTATTTTTTTAAAAACAATGCACCTGATTTACAATTTCAAATGAGTTTCAGTAAACCCTATTTTATTGTAACACTGAGGTATTAAATTTAATTCTTAAAAAATACTTCAGTACTGAAGCTCCAGACCTCTAAAGGATGAGGTCAAAAACTAAAACCACACATTTAGATAATCAGTTTTCTGAGCCCTAAAAATAAAGAGGTAATAGTTTTGGCTCAACTACTTCATAAATCCTTGATTGGAAAATCCTGTCTTTGCTGTTGTTTGTAGAACATCTAGTTAATCAAATAAATAAATAAATCTGTTGCAGTTGAACGACCGTCACTGTTACACACTAACCTCCAAACATGTGACCGTTTCAGTGTGTGGGGACGAGGTCTGTGAGCTGGAGGAGAACTGTCTCAACTGTCCTGCAGACTGTGGAGTCTGTCCCATGTCCTTCGCCATCAAAGTAGCCATCGGTCTTCCTGTGGCCCTCTTCTGCAGCGGCTTCATCCTGACCATAGTGGTCAGTCTGTGCAACACCTGCTCCCAGGAGCTGCAGCCGCTCAACAAACACTCAACACTCAGTCTGAACCTAACGTTTTCATCCTCTGCAGTGGTTTCAGTATCAGAAACAGAAGATGTTTTGGGATGAAAGTTGGATCATCAACTACAAGAACATCATATTTGGTAAAAATACATAAATAAAATTATATACACATATATAAACATATATATCTGCCTCAGTTTTTTTCTGAGAGTTTAGGCCTTGAATGTCTTTGAATGTCCTTGAATGTTCTCTGAAGAGTTTTAATTCGATCAATTCCGTGTCTTACAGGGAAAGTGTGCTGGATGGGACTGGGCAGCACGCTCAGCCTGCAGCACGTCAAGAGTAACTCCACCATCAGTCGGATCACTGATGTGACTGTCTGCACTGGAGTCAGCAACTCCTTCAAACAAGGCTTCATTCAGTCTGGCATATAGTGGGCACTGGTTTTTATTTAACCCTGACAACAAAACAGGAATTAAAGTCTGCCATAGATTGAAGAGGAAATTCTATAAAAATACTCTTCATTCTCTCATATGTACTGTATATAAACACAAAGTATCTTCGTGTAACTGTACTGCAGTGATGGGAGAACAGTTGCGGTGAAACACATCCAGAAGAAACATTTCACTTTGTCCAAAACCATCAGGAAGGAGGTCAAAGAAGTCAGGTGACGAAACGTCTCCGCGACGAGACATTTTTCATGTTCAGTCTTCATCTGTCTAATGTGGAAACTCTCATTCCTTCTCAGGGAACTGGACCACCCCAATCTGTGCAAGTTCATCGGCGGCTGCATCGAGGTGCCGTACGTTTGCATCATCACGGAGTACTGTCCCAAAGGAAGTCTGTCGGACGTCCTGCTCAACGACGACATCCCCATCAACTGGGGCTTCAGGTCAGACCACTGCACGGGACTCTGTGTGTGTGTGTGTGACTGAAGTGACTGAATCTAATTTCAGACAGTGATATTGATCTATCTGTTAAAATATATTTTACAGACTCTCTTTTGCCACCGACGTCGCCCGTGGAATGTCCTACCTCCACCAGCACAAGATTTTTCATGGTCGTCTCCACTCCAGAAACTGTGTCATTGATGACCGCTGGGTCTGCAAAATCTCAGGTACCGGAAGGAAACAGTTGGTTGACACAAATCACTGCTTGACTACACTGAACATGTCAGTGAAATGATCAAGGAGGAAACGTTAAGGTTCGAGTAGTCGTTGGCTTCACGATATTTCCCCGTGTTTGGTTTCAGATTACGGACTGACCGGCTACAGAAGGGAGGATTTTGAAGCTGTCGGCACTGGCTTCAACCATGGAGAGATAAACCGTATTTACTGTGCTCCAGAGGTGCTGCTGGGAAATAGCCCCATCTTGACACCAACTGCAGATATTTACAGGTTTATTCCTCTACATGTATTTCTTTGTTTTCTATTTGATTTTTCAATTAAAATAAATCCAACAGGCATGACCTCATACCTGCAGCATCATATTTCATTGCCAGTACGACAGGAAAAGTGAAGTCCAGTTCTTCTTCTTCTTCCTCTTCATTCCTCAGTTACTCTATGATTCTGGTGGAGATCGCCACTCGTTCTGACCTGATTTCAGTGAGTGCGAGCGCCGCCTCTCCAGATGACATGTTCTACTGTCTCTTTGATCTCTGTGCTGTAACCAGCCGTTCTCCTCCACAGGAACAGTGTGAGGGATTGAGGATGGATGTCATGTGGCGCCCCCCTCTGCCTGAACTGAAGTCCGGGAAAGCAGATACGGACTGTCCCAGTCAAGCCCTGTACAGTGAGGTACTGTGGCTGCAGCTGCACCGACATGTTTGTTCAGGCGTCATGAAGAAGAACATCTTCACCAGAGGAAACTGAAATCTGAACTCACCAACTGATCATGGTTTTTTTTTTTTTTTTTTTTTTTTTTAAAAACTTTTTAAAAAAGGCGGGGCCCCACACCCCCCCACAGGGGGCAGCTGTGAGTTCAGACCCAAACACGGTTTTGTTTTAACTGCAGATGGAGAAGTACAGCAAACATCTGGAGGCCATAGTAGCAGAGAGGACTCAGGACCTTCTCCAGGAGAAACAGAAAACAGACCGACTGTTGTACAGTGAGTCAGAACTCACTGTGTGGTTCTGCAATGAAACAAACCCAGAGCAGATTCTTATGGCAGTCGAAAAATGATAAGGAAATCGTAGAGATGCCTGAAGGACAATGCTGAGATTTTTTTTTTTGTAGCAGAATAAAATATTCCAACTGTTTTTATGAGTTTACTGTTTCTGTTTCAGGCATGTTACCAAAGCCGGTGGCTGATGACCTTCGTCAAGGTCGAACAACAGAAGCTCAGAGCTTTGCCAGTGCCACAGTGTATTTCAGGTTTGTGGAGAAGGCAGATCCTCCGGTCTATGTTTCTACGCTGATGATAACACTGTGTTCCTCTCCTGCAACAGTGACATTGTTGGATTCACTCAGCTGTCCGGGGCCAGCACTCCTCATCAGGTGGTGAACTTCCTGAATCAGCTCTACACCACCTTCGATGACATCATCGACAACTACGACGTCTATAAAGTGGAGACAATCGGTGATGCGTGTAAGTGAGGAAAGGAAGGGGCACAGACTGTCATTTTTGAGATTTTATTGATGCAATTCAATTCAATTACATGGAAACGAATCACTTTAATCATTACGGATAGCGTTAGCCTAGCTAGGTATTAAGTCGCAAATCAGAGTGGGTTTCAGTCCAAGAGGAATGTGTATTCTGCTGTGTTCTTATCAGTATGTCTCTTTCTTCCTGTTCTTTCTTATCATGGTTGATGGTCCAGACATGGTGGTCTCTGGGGTCCCTCAGGAAAATGGCATCAACCACGCAGGAGAGATAGCCAGCATGGCCGTGGATCTGGTCAACGTCTGCCATAACTTCAAGATCCCCCACAAGCCGAACACGCAGTTAAAGATCCGCGCAGGGATCCACTCAGGTAGTGTGAGTACAGTATTATCAGTCCAGAGGTTCTCAAACTACGGCATGTGTTCCACTGGCTGTTCCTGTCATTTTGTCTTATTATAGCTTTAAGGTACAAAATGTTTGACATTTTATCACGACAGATCTATCACAGTTATACGAGGAGCAGGATAAGAGAATAACATTAGAAAATCTAGGAGAGTGTGTGAGGCCACAATTTAAACTGTGGTTATTTCAAGAAGAGTTTACCGTTCACAGACGACGACTGCAGCCGTCTTATCTAAGCAGTTCGATTACTTTAATTTTAAATGTCAGTGAGGCGGAAAAAAAACAAATCGGTTCTACCCTGAAAATGTTTTTTTTGTCTCTACTTCCTCATACTTTCTATCCCTACGTATTTACTTAGACTAAGACTTTACTGCCTGTGAGAGGTGAGGCCTGGTCTGTAAGCATATGTCCTCAGTTCGACAGCACGCCTATAACTTAAATAAAGTGATACAATAATGTCCATTGTTAACATTGAGTTTGGTCTGTGTGTTTATCCTGACAGGACCAGTCGTAGCCGGTGTCGTTGGCACAAAAATGCCACGCTACTGCCTCTTTGGGGACACTGTCAACACAGCGTCAAGGATGGAATCAACCAGTGAAGGTACTGTTTTTTTTTAAAGATACGCCTAATTTAATTCATGTCTCAGTGTGGAAGAGCAGTCAAAACATTTCAAGGACAAGAAAGGGTTTTAGTTTTCAGTGACAACCTGGTTTACCTGGTAAGATACTCCAGTAATCTTAGAACAGGGACAAAGTCAGAGAATGTTGGTTACACTCCTGAGACTGTGAAGGTTTCTAATACTAACTTCATTAGAGAATTGTCTGAAAATGATGTGAGTGTGTGTCAATGTTTGTTCTGTGTTTTTTTACTGGTTTTTACAGCTCTGAAGATCCAGGTGAGTGGAGCCACAGCCGACCTGCTCCACTCACTCAAAGGTTATGTTTTGACCTGCAGGGGAACTCTTAACGTCAAGGTAAGAAAACATCTGGTGTCATTCTGATCTCATCTAAGTTCTGTGAGTTCTGGAGACCAGAATATTTGTGGGAAACTGTTAAACTTTGTAATATGTTTGTTTCACTTTGTAATTTCTTTCTCAAAATCGTGGACTACAGTGGAACCTCTGGTGTCGAACGCCTCCCTTTTCAAACAAATACATTGCAATTGTTTAGTTTCACATCAGGTCATGTTGCGGTTTTCAAACAAAATTCTGAACTACATTTTGTTTAGTTTCACATCAGGTCATGTTGTGTTCGGCCTTATCTTCTTATTTTATGTTAAATGTGGAAGAATTAAGAAAATGCCTCGATAAATATGTTACTTTGGGTACTGTAGAGTTTTTGTTAGTTTTGTGGTTGTAACAGGCGCAGATGTTGACCATTCACGATCTCTTTAACCTACATTATGTTATAAAGAGATATGGGTGTGTCCTCTATAACACCGTCCAGTTCTCCAGGCTCCTATTCACAGAGTAAACTAGGACTAGGGTTTGGTTGCCTGTGCGATTTCTGACAACTGATACTGCTGTAATGCATTTACAAAGTCCACTGGGATACCTGGTTCACAATGACTTGTGATTTATTTTTTTTATCCCCATCCTCCCACAGGGCAAGGGTGACATGACAACATGGTGGCTTGAAGCAAAGAGAGATGACACAGCAGACCCGCTGCTGAAAACCTCTGAAGAAATCCCAGTACCAGTAAGTAACTGAACCAGGCGGATCATCACAGCTTAGAGAATAGTCCGGAGAAGATGTCAAGAGATTCATTTGTTTATTGAATACAATCCAGAAATTAGACGTGACGCTGTGAACTGAGCAGACGATTCTTAGTGTTGTGTGTAACCATCTTTATCACTGTAGTTGTGTTCATTATAGTTGTGTTATTGTAAGTAGGAGTCATAAAGAAAAGAGACCCCGTTGGTATTTTAAACTTACTCTCTACTTATTTCCTCCATGTTGATGTTGTTGAAAAAATGTCAAATAATATGCACGAAAGCTTGTTGTCTAGTTGTTTATGTCATTACCACCTGAAGCACTTTCTTGTTTTCTGACAAATGTTAATGAGATGATCACTGCCGTAATTATGAAACAACTCTTATTTCAGTTTTCTGAAATCTAAAACTGTAGCCTGCATTATTATACATATATATATATATATCTATATATATATAAGTAATGGCGTGCCATTTAGGAAATTAATCCTTGAATATATAAAGTATATACAGAAAGTCTGAATATATAAATCTTTATCTTTATTTATAAATAGATTTATTTATACATCTTTATTTTAAAGCTGTCATGTGACGTGGTGTACTGTGTTCTCTTCAAAATATAAATTTGTATTCTGTTGTTCATGCTTACTTCTGCGTTGTGAGTGAAGCGTGGTCTGTAAAAAAAAGAAGAAGAAGCAACGAAGAGTGAATAAAGACGGACGTTCATATCGAAGTCGTTTGTGTCACTTTGCTGCTGCTGCTGTTGTTGTTGTAGTTGTAGTTGTAGTTGTAGTTGTAGTTGTAGTTGTAGTTGTAGTTGCAGTGTCCCAGACTGACGAGCCTCACACCAAGCTGCTTGCAGGTTCTGTACAGCTTCCCCTCTGCCTTTTCTGTCAAAGCACTGGTGGGTTACACCTAAAAAGAAAAAATACAAAAATATGTACATATACACTGTAAAAGAAGAGAGAATGAACCTTTGTGACTTTTTTTTATCATTTCTCCAGCAGATACATCAAACACCTTTGGATGTGACTTCCCATCTTGTCCACAGGTTTACAGTTGTTTCCTGCACCACCGCCATCGTTTTACTCACCCGTCGTGGTCTAAAGCTGCTCAGATCCTGCTCCGTGTCCCTCAGCAGCATCTTCAGGTTGTTGCTTGTCACGTGGAGCTTCTCCTGGGCCAGAGCGTGGAGCAACTCTTACTGGATCTGCCTGGCATCCTGCAAATATAACAAATTCAAGTTAATGTCAAAACCAATGTGAAGAAAGTTTTTGCTGACTGAACGATACTTTTGGTTCATTTTAGCGCTTTTTCGATCAAATAATGTCTGGCTAACAATTGGGTATTTCTGTTAACTGTCCCCAAACTGTGCAGCGAGCTTAGAAGTTTTATCACCACAATATTTGGCAAAATGTAGTTGTTTTTGCTCCTTTTTTCCCCTCCAGTATATTTTGGACTGTTTCTTTGGCAAAACTCAATTTACTTTTTACAGTAAATATATTGAATTTATATGTAAATAAAACTAAGACTCATTTTCATCAGGTTTTTGTCGCATATTTAATATAAATAGTAAACAAAACCAACATTTTTATTCTTTAAATGAAAATATATATTTTTTCAAAATAGAAACTATTAATAACAATTAATTATTTGACATATTTTAAATGGATGTCAAATATTGAAAAAGGGTGCATTACTTATGAATATAAAATACATTTGCAGCATAATTCAGTATAAGAGTTGCTGGAATTTTCCTTTATCTGATTGGATAACGAGGCGTAGCCGTGCGCTTTGAAAGCGGAAGGAAGTGGTAATTATTCAATTCAATTACATGGAAACGAATCACTTTAATCATTACGGATAGCGTTAGCCTAGCTAGGTATTAAGTCGCAAATCAGAGTGGGTTTCAGTCCAAGAGTCTTTCCGGCTCCGGTTGGAAGATGGCGCTGTGTGGAGGCCCACAGACAAATGTTTGCTATTACAATGGTACGTATTTCCATCTCTGGTTCTCTTCACTTTGGCAGTTAACGCGTCATGTGAAGGACCAGTATCCCGTTGCTGACCCGCCGAGTGGGGCAGCCGGCTAGCTGCTAAACAGTAGCCTGTTTGAGTCGCACGGTTTGCACATTCAAACTACTTCTGACTGCATTTATTTCTTCAGTCAGGGTGATATTCAATTGTACGAGATGGCGCTTTGTTTGGCCTCTAAATATCTGCACGAGGACCGTTTGGTTCGAGTGGTCCAAACATTTTGGGTGTTGCAACTTTAGCCACGTGTGCTAGCGAAGAAGCGGCTTGTTCTGTGGAGACCGTTTGCCTCAAAGTGGTACTTTGTAGTGAATTGTTACAAAGAACACGGCACATTATTATCTAGTGTACGAATTTACTCTTATTCATTATTTAAACGTATGTATTAACTTGATTACGTAAATCCCTTCAGGTGTAGCAGCAGACCAATATCGCCATCAACTGGGCCGGAGGAGTCCACCCACGCCAAGAAGTCCGAGGCATTTGGATTTTACGTTTTTGAGCTACTCGAGTAAGAAAAGAAACATTTCAAGTTGTTTTTGTTACCGGATATGAGCGTTTTCTCCTGAATTTGCAGTGTTGTGAAATATTTACAGGACATCAGGGGCTGAAAAGGTGAAATACTACGCAGTGAATTACCAAGAAGCCATCTTTAAACCGGTAAGTTTTTTTACTGTCTGTGCAATTCAGTTATTCTTCCCAAGTTTGAATGATGACCTTAAAGTGTTTTTTTTTTGTTTTGTTTTTAAGATTGAGCAAAGACCAAAGAATACCTTGTGAGGAGGCCCAAGAATGCTGCCAACCACGGGGATAAAGGAAGCAGCAGCAGAAGAGAGGTAACCTGTGGATGTTTGACTCCAGCCAGAACTAGTAGTCGTGTTATTGCATTTACTTTGTCTTTATTTTATTTTTTGTAACATGCTAGTGCTAAACACTTTGAACATGGTGTTGTCATCAGACAGCATTTGTATGTAATGTCTTTATTTCATTTTGTTTCAGGCCAAAAGAGGTTAAACCAAGTTGTTCCACTCCTGATGATTGGACCTTTGTTGAATCCTGTGAGTATGTGATCCTGCCATCTTTACCTGCGTACCTTAAAGCTACAAGTTACTGTTGTAGTTTGACATTTGTTTTTTGTTTTTTTGCTATTAAAAGAATCAAAAGTTGTTGGTTTGCTGTTCATTGTGGAAATGTTCTTTTTTTTTTTTTTTTAACTGCTTTTTACTTGTTAACTAACTAAACAAACTTAAGTTTAAGAAATTTTAAAAATTTTCTAAAAAACATTTCTGAAAAGTTTTTAGAAAAAATTTTAAAAAAATGTCAGAAATTAAAAAAAAAAAAAATTTTCCTGAACATTTTCTGGAAAATTTTTTTAAAATTTTTTTAGACAAAAAATTTTTTTTTCAGAGCATTTTTAGAAAAAAGTTCTGAAAAAAAATTTTTTTTCAGAAAATTTGTTTATTTTAGACAAATTTTTTTTTTCCAGAATTTTTTTTTATTTATTTTTCTGAAAATTTTTTTTTTAAAAAAAAATAATTTTCTAAAAATTTTCTTAATTTTCTGAAAAAAAATTTTTTTAAATATTTTTTTAAAAAATGCGTAGGAAAAATTTTTTTTGGAAAATTGTTTTTCAGGATATGTTAGAAAAAAATTTCAAAAGTTTCTGAAAAAAGTTTTTTTTTTTTTTTTTTTTTTAGAAAAATTGTTTTTCTAAAAATGTTCTGAAAAAAATATTTTCGGAAAAAAAACTTTTTCTACAAAAATAAAAAAGTTTTTCAGAAAATAGGAAACATTTTCTTTCAGACAACTTTTTGAAAAAAATGTTTCTGGAAAAAGTTTTTCTAAAACAATTTTTCTAGTAAGGCATGTTTTGGGTGATTTTGGAAATATTCATATAAAATACTTTTTGGACTTTTAAACACAAAATAATCACTTGGCAGCATGTTTTAGGATAATCCTGCATTTAGAGAACATTTTTAGAAATTTTCATCTATAATATTTTCTGTCAAAATGTGAACTTTTTGTGTCATTTCTGATCAACAACTTAAAAAAATGTACAAAGATTTTTGTAAAATTATTTTTCAAATATTTATTTTTACTTGCATGTTTCTACAAAAATTAAGGCATTTAGAGAACATTTTTAGAAATTTTATCCTATTAAAATTATGTCTAATAATGTGAACTTTTTGTGTCATTTTCGTGCAAAAACTAAAAGATTTTAACAAAAATTCCTGTAATTGTTTTTTAAAATTGTATCTTTTCCTGAATGTTTCTTATAAAATTAGGGCATTTAGAGAACATTTTTAGAAATTTTCTTCTATAAAATCTTTTTTTATATTTTGAATGTTTTTTGTAGTTTTCGGTCAAAAACTAAAAAATTCTGAGGTAAATTTTTGTAAAATTATTTAAAAAAAAAAAATTTTTTCCTGAATGTTTCTCATAAAATCAGGGCATTTAGAGAACATTTTGTGAATTTTTTTTTTATAAAATGTTTTGTCACAATGTTAACTTTTTGTCATTTCCGGTCAAAAACAAGGATTTTTATGAAAATCTTTGTAAAATTATTTTTTAAAATTTGATCTTTTCTTTCATGTCTCTCATGAAATATGTGCATTTAGAAGACATTTTTAGAATTTTTTTTCTATAAAGTTTTCTGTAAGAATATGAACTTTTAATGTCATTTTTGGTCAAAAACTGAAAGATTTTGACAAATTTCTTTGTAATTTTGTAAATGTTTTTTGTGTTTTTTTCACGATGGTAAGGCTATAGTAAGGCGTGTTTTGGGTGATTTTGGAAATATTCATAAAAAATACTTTTTGGACTTTTAAACACAAAATAATCACTTGGCAGCATGTTTTAGGACCTAATCTTGCATTTTAGTGCATTTCGGGGACTTTTTATTTTTATGGATTTTTTCACGATGGTAAGGCTATAGTAAGGCGTGTTTTGGGTGATTTTTGAAATATTCATAAAAAATACTTTTTGGACTTTAAAACACAAAATATTCACTTGGCAGCATGTTTTAGGACCTAATCTTGCATTTTAGTGCATTTCGGGGACTTTTTATTTTTATGGATTTTTTCACGATGGTAAGGCTATAGTAAGGC